AGCAAACTCACAGTAACAACTTCCTTATTCTGAATGAATCGCTTGTTGAATTCGAGCAGTTTCCTGATGCGGACATCGGGGCCGATCTTGGTGTGCGCTGCGATGGACTTCATGAGCTGGAAGTTGGCGCGCATGGCGTCCGACAGGCCCGTCATGCGGCACAGCTCCGGCACCAGGTACACCAGCTCGGACATGCCGGCGCGCACCTGGCGCAACTTCGAACGCGACACCAACATCGGTTGACGCACATCGTTGATGCGAATGTTGTATTTCTGTCAACAAACCACAGCCATTGTATATACATTCAAATCGGATCGATCCATCAATCCGATCAAAGAATTTTAACTTTAAATATTTAGTTTGAGTAAGATTATGTGAAAGAGTAAAATAATTAACATAATCTCACTACTACTAAATCCTCAGATCCCTAAGTCAATATAATTAATTGGTGTCAATTAAATAATTTATGAAAATTTGTTAGTAACAATGTCTAATTTATTTTATAATATCTTTGTAAAATGTTTTATTGTCAATACAAGACAAGGTGGCACTAAACTTGACAACTGATATCTTTTAGAGAAAATACCAGTGAAAACATTTTGTTTACCATGTATCATTAATTTTCTAAAATCTCTGGATTGAAATGAATAAACATAATAATATACAATATATATACAATAACATTATTTACTCATTAAATTACAAACCTTGTAATAATAGTCGACATATGAGATATCACCATCCTTTGTTTTAAAGGTGGATAAAGGTGTATTTTTCCAATCCACATCATCAATTCTATAGGTTCTCTTGTTGTAATCTGTCAGCACAATTTGACCTGGAAAAAGACAAATATTCTATTAAAACTATGCATATCAGGTCTTGAACTCACTTCATACATGATATCTTTCATACAATTTTTTATCAGGGTTAAGGGGCGGTTATGGCAAATTGCGCATCTTTGGAAGTATAGAACAAGATTTCTACAAAGATTTGATTGGTGATATTTTAGTATGTGTAACTTCAGTCCTTTAACTAAAAGCTCGTGGAACAGAATCACGATTGGACAAACTTTTCTCGATAGATTTATTTTTTGAAAATGTGCCTAATTCTGTAAAAATCACCATATATCTGCAAAACTACAATGAAAGTAAAAACTTGAAGTGGTTTACTTGATACACGAGTATTTTATCTTCCGTTAACCCGAAGCTTTTTCCAATACGTTGATTAGTTATTTTTTAATCGAATTTAATTAAAATCTGCCCCAGATGGCATAACGATTTCGCGTCAATCCGCCCGCGGGCGTCGTTGGAAGGGGACCTGTGCTCGTCGCTCCGACGAAACCCCCTCCGCACCCCGCATTTATGTGACCATGCGTGTGACGGAAAGGGCTATAGCCCGGACGATACGTCGCTCTCTTTTTATCAAGCCCGAACGTAAAACCACTGATCTATATAAAATGGAGCTCCCCACAATACAGAAAGCGGCACGCGAATGGAATATAAATATTAATTATTTTTTTATTTTATTAAAAAATTACATATTTCTATTTAATTAAAAATATAATGAATCGGAAAATAAGTTTTTTCATTAAATAATATTTTCCAAATTCGTAAGCGATTCTTTAAGTACATATAAGCGAACGATTTTGTCACAAAACAGTATTATTTATACTATAGTGTGTCTAAATAATTTAGATTAGTTTGACAGTTCATTTCAAATTTAGTAGGGACGAGTTGTGTAAAATCAGTCATGAATCTTATCAATTTTCGATTTTTACTCTTATAGAAGTTGGAATCGATAGATTAAATGTTATAACTAATGAAATAAAAAAACACTGTTTTCTCAAATTAATAATGACCATAACAATTAGTGATAGTAAATAAATGTTTATTACTACTACAGCCGTACGTAATCGAATTGGAATTCGCTATTATTTCTGTCATCACGAAATTCTCTACACTATAATCAATACTAGAACTGCCCTCTAAATTAGTGAATAAGAAAATAATAATTTTAGTTGAGTTTGATAATTATTAAACCGAATATCGATAGTTCAAAATTGTTCGCTGTGTGTGTTTGTTTCGTCACTACGATACCTGTCTATTAAATATGGCATTTGCCTTAATACAAATTGAATTCGATACTTAATATGCGTCATTTATTAAACTAATCTATCTTATTTAGACAAACTAAAATATTATCAAGAGGAGAATTTCTATTTTAATATACACTTGATTCACGTAAAACTACTGGGCCGATTCAAAAAATTCTTTCACCGTTTGAAAATTAATTTATCTATCATTAACATAGCCTATGTTTTTTATGTTAATTATTAATTTCACTCGGACGAAGTCGCGAGCAACAGCTATCTAATATAACTGCGGGACTTAGAGATAACGAAATGGGCATGTTTCCTAATTTTTGGAATTGTCCAAACACGAAAAAAATATAATAAAACCAGATACGCAACATTCAATTAAAAAACACGTACATAAAAACAACTACTAGAAAGCCCGCCAAAACACCTCATGACTTGTACAACAAACAAACCTCGCGTCGCGGTCTGTCAAAATCAATAATAAAAAAACAAAACCGACTTCCAAACAAAATACACTAAAAACAAAACAAAATGCACTAAAATCAAAACAAAATACAATTATTATTACTTTGAAGTCGGTGTCAGCCGAGGTATGCAGTGATATTTCTACGTAAGGGTTTCCACATTTTTACCATAACAATTGA